TTTTTTTTTTTTTGTAAAACGCACTTGATCGCGTACAACTCGTTCCCGTGCTCATCGGCAACGGCACTGCCGGTCGTGTGTCGCAATGCGAGCGTGCGTCACGTTCCGCGCACCGTGCTCGCTTTGATCGGGTGATTTGTATTCCTGTCCCAGTGAAAGTGGACGCACGGGCGCCGCATTCGAAGATGACACGTTCGTCCGATAACGTGTCGAGAAACATGCTTTTCGCCGCCGTCTCCGTTGGTCGCTCGACGTTTCGAACGCGACGCTAACCCGCTGAACGTGCGCGGTACCGCTTGTCCGCCCACCCATCGTCGCTCTCTGGTACTCCGTCTTCGTTCGCGCTCCTCTTTCCATGCGTCGCAGGCGAACCGACCTATAGCGCACGCCTCGCCATGGACTGCGGATCGACGCTGTACTCTCATCGTAACAACGGTCTCATGACCCGGTCGCTGGAGAAACTTCTCGAAGATGCCCATCTGTGCGGTGAACTGAAACTCGGTGGACGTAAACTAAAAGAATTCCCTACAACGAATAAATACGATTTGTCCGATACGACTATCGCAGGTATGCTCGTTAGACACTCCATCCTTGATATTTGATCGTGTTTAACGATCGGTTGTTGTACCAAATCATTTATTTGTTTTAGATCTCTCAAAAAATTGCTTCACTCACTTTCCTACTGAATTAATTAAATTCTGGTCATTAGAATCTCTCAATCTTTACCACAACGCCATACGATCAATACCAAACACAGTAACATCCCTTCAATCATTGGTGTATCTTGATCTCAGGTTGGTTATACGTTTTGTTCATACCTTGTAGATGTTATCAGTGTTAAACTAAAGTATTAGTTAAAACTGACAATAGGTGATTTATAATTAATAGTAACTTCTGTTTTGGTAAAGTATTATTATAAGGTCGCTATTAATATAAATCTCTTGTTACTGTTGTTAAGTAATTTACTTGACTAATTTTAACTCAATATATATACTTAATTAGTACCTTAAATTTCTATAGTGTTTTTTCTAAGTATCATTTATATTTTAATTGTATTAATTTATTACCTATCTAAATTGAAATGACATAACATCAAATATTAGTTATACATAAATTATAAAAATTATTTTGTTATGAAAATGTGCTTCACCTTACTTATGTACTTATGTACTTATGTTACTTATCAATAAATCTTAATATCAAAATAATATATCATTGTTTTCTTAGGTAGTCATTTACTATGTTAAAAAATTAATTAAAAGAGCATCTTTTAATTCATTAGAAACTATAATTAATATTGTCTGTATATAATTTAACTACCTACATTATTATAATAATGTTAGAAATAACATATTATATTTATCTATGAACTCCATATTGACAGCCTCAACAAAAAAAGGTCATAACTTGACTATTTTTTTTTACAAGTAGTATGCCTTAATAAACCCTGAAGTTATGTATGTATTTTTTAAACTAAAACTTGTAATAATTACGGTATCCTTCATTCTACCAGTGATGTTATTTTTGAAAATATACTTTTCAAAATAGAATAAGAATATGAATTGCAATGCTTATTTTATTCATACCGAAAAGTTAGAAAAAACGAATTTTGACCTTTTTCGTTGTGGCAGTCGATATATGCTGATTAAGAAAATCAAACATAAATGTTAATACATTAAAATTTTATGTATAAGATTATACCTATTAATCAAATTTAGTTCAATAAAATAACACAAAATATAATAAAAATTATTAAAATTTAATGTATAGTCTCCTTTGTATCACAATTTATAGCTAAGTATAAACATTCTCTCAACATTTTATATTTTTAAATGTTATAAATCATTTATAAATGAATTAACCATTTGGTTTGGTTCATTTTTTTGATATGTCAAGATATCAATCACTTATTGTTATATCATAATTTTATCTCTTGTTTTATTTTATTTCTTCAGTCGTAACTGGTTAACATGTCTACCATCAGCTATATGTCAGTTACCTCTTGAAATACTACTTTTATCCAACAATAAACTCAAACAGTTACCTAATGAAATTGGATTCTGTAAAACTCTCATTGAATTGGATGTAAGCTGTAATGTGCTTACTCATTTACCACCACAACTGGGTCAACTATCCTCTTTAAAATGCTTAAATGCACAAAACAATTTACTAATCGAGTTACCATTAGGTGAGTAAAATAATATTAAAGAACTATTTTTTTTTTTAAATATTCAACTAACAATTTTACTAAAAATATATTTACCTTTTAATTTTCTTCCTTTTTTTTCCATGTTTTTATAACAGTAATTCACTTTATTGAACAATATACTATCTGTGAGAAAGTCCACTAAATTGTATTAAAGTCTTAATATACCAAACAGCTACTATATTTTTTTTTAAAAATCATGCATACATTTTTTTTACAGAATTAACACATATAAAATTAGCAAGATTAAATGTCAGTTTAAACCGAATTGCATCTTTACCTGTTGAACTTCGATTAATGTCTAGTTTGGAGAGTTTGGATGTGGCAAATAACCCTTTGGTATCTCCTCCGACAGCTGTAAGACTTACTGAATAATTATATTATGGTCTACTTTCTTATATATTATGTGTAGTATTATAATATGGGATATGAACATTTTCAGGTTTGTATTAAAGGTCGTGTTCATATATTCAAATGGTTGGATGTGAAAAGTATTAAAGAAGGCCGCAATCGAGGATCTTCATGGAAATTTAATTCTCTTAAAAGCAATAATCACAGTTTAGATAGTAATATGGACAGTTTAACTTTATCTGAAACAACTAGTCTTGTTCATTCTTCAGATGAGGTTTGTTTATTATCCAAAAATAACATTATCTTGTTTATTATAAATTATGTGTTTTTAATTATATTTTCAGGGTGCAAATGGAAGTATGGAATATTTAAATAAGTCTGATAGAAAGCATAAAGAAACAAATAGATATAGTAACAATGCAAGGTAATATTGAATATTCAAATTTATCATATACTTAATTATTTTTAATTAAAATTTTATTTACTTAAAGTCCTGAAATTTTACGTGTAAGTAAAAGTAATGGTAGCATGTCAACAAATTTGAACAAATACACAAGTAATAATAATGGTATAAAATCAAATGATAAGCCAACTCAACATACTCAAAGCTATAGGTATGTAGAATTTTGATCGTAACTTTTGATCATTATCATATACATTTTTCAACAAATATATTTGTTTGTTTATTTTATTATATTTTTATTATTTTAGTTTTCAGTAATTATGATATTGAGTTTATTATATATTTATATCTATATATATATATTTATATATTTATACTTTTATATATATTTACAGAGAATACAAAGAGTTCCTTAAACAACAACGTACTCAAGAGTCTATTTACAAAGGAAAACCTCTAAACAACGATAATAATGTTGATCAAAAGGTATGTATAGTTCAATTCTAAAAGTTATTATATTAATTTTTTTTTTTTTTTTATAAACAGGATATCCGTCCATATATTAAACCGACAACACCAGAAATCACATCTACTCCTGTCAATAATTTATCATTACCAAGGACACCAAACCCTAGTTCGAATATTTGGTCCAAGTGTAATACACAAGTCGCTAAAAACAAACTACAGTTCACTATGAAACGAGAGTACGATAAAGCAAGAGAAGAAGCAGAACTTGTTAAACAATTAAGAAATGTTAGTGCGTTTATAAGTTGATAAATGTAAAAAATTATATAATTATTATTGATTTTTGTGTATTATAGACTATTGAATCACGTTTAAAAATGTCTCTTCCAAGTGAACTATCACCAGCTCTTAGTGATGGTGTTGTGCTTTGTTACTTGGCTAATCATGTTAAACCTAGATCTGTGGCAAGCATTCATGTACCTTCACCAGCTGTGGTAAATATTTAACTGTATAATTGTTTAATATATATGGTAGTTAAGTCTGATTTATTTAATCATATATAGCCCAAACTTACAATGGCTCGGTGTAGACGAAATGTTGATAACTTTTTGGAAGCATGTCGTAAGATTGGTGTTAATGAGGTGGGTAATCTCTATATAACTATTTAGCACTTCGAAATAATTTATAATTAACACTGTACAATATAATGTTTACAATGAATATTTAACTGTACAATTTTAATGTTAATTTTCAATATTTTTAGAAACTAATTTGTTGTGCCGTCGATATTCTGGAAGGAAAAGGCATTGTTCAAGTAGCCATTACAGTAGCAGAGCTTTTGAAATTTCATACACCAAAATCTCCATCACAAACTGTACATGTGCCATCACTTTTAAATGTATAAACTAATATTTTTAAATAATTCATTTACGGAAACAATCTATGAACAAATAATAATAATTGACTGATTGATAAGCTCACTAATGAAATGCTATTGTAGCATTGAAGACTGTTTTATTTCTCTTGTTAAGAATATAAAATTACCTCAAGAATTTCATAAAGAGGCTGAGTTAATTTTATATATTTTTTTAATCAAAACGAAATTTATTAAATGAAATTTGTGTGTACCTACTACTTAAAATTTACTACTGTATTTTTATTATTTAGTTGTCATTTTTACTGTCTATAAATACTATTATTATTATTTATTTTAAACTTCCTATATAGCCTGTGTTAACAAAGTTTCGCCATTCCTAAATATATTGGCTGTACTTTAATTTTAGTAAACTTGTTTTGCTTTTATACTTTTAATTTAAATTTGACTAATTAATTTTTTTCTTGTCAGCAGTTTTATTTATTTTTATTTATTCGTTTAGTTATATTTTATGTTTTGTAACAAAATGATACACCGATTAGTTATCTAAGACTTAATTTATAATCTGGAATTAGTATAAATTTCAAATATTATTTGAGTACAAAATAAAATAATAATTTTATTGTTAATAATTATCAAAAAAGTTCATTTTTTAATTAAGATTTAAAGTGATTACCAATATTAATTTCAACATGATTAAGATATAAGTATCATAGATGTATATCATATAAATAATTCAGAAAGTAATAATTAGCTCTAAGTACTAATAATTGTTAAACACAGAACTTGGTATTCATAATAAAATAACAATAATATTAAATTATTCTAAATCCTATTGTTTTAAATTTTTTAAAAGATAATGAATTCCTAATATTATTTAAGCGGATGAAGATATAGTAAACTGTCATGGCATGATTTTAGAAAATGTACATTGTTCACATTTGTTCAAAGTCAACAACTATCAAATTAAGAAAGGTTTTTGGCCGAATAGTGTGCAGATATGCGCAATTATAGATTTATACAACAGTTATACTATGCAAATAATGTGAATAGTAGTTAGTAATTGAATTCTCTGGTAAGGTTGGTCAACTATATGGGAAAAACTGAGCAAGATTGTGTATTGTGAATAGAAAATGTTTATTAATATAATAAAATAAGTATAATATATTATATTATTATTAATTTAATTTTAATATGTTATTGCTGTCAATTTTAATATTAAGTTAATCCTATAATTTAGTTTTAGGTTTTCAACTAATAAGAATTACTAGTTACCATAGTGAAATTACATAATTTAGTTGCACTTAATGAGTAGTTTGGTTAGAAAATAAGTAATGAATAACACTTAAAATAATATATAATTTTGTTACTTTTTTAAAGTAATTTGAACATAATGCATAACTTTTAATAGTTAAAACAAATATTTTTGTATGTAGAGCTTACTGTGCACGCACATTTGATAATACACTGATTTGTTAAATAAGATCCAAGTAAATGTGTAGATATTATATACCTATTATATAATGTATCTTAGTATACATTTAAGTTCAATTATAGTAATTAATTGTCAGAAATGGTTAAAGTGTTCAAAAATTGGAGTATGTAAACAGACAGTCTTGATCACAACATCTGAAGACTGAATATTCTATAAACAATCGTTTGATAATCATAAAAATTTACAAATGTAACCGAACTAATTTTCAAATTTGAAGTGGGTATGTAATATTAATAATTAAAGTTGTACTTAGTGTGAGCAACATATTTTCAGATATTCAGGGTCCACGGGTGCGGCACTAAAAGGTCGAAAACCTAATGTTGATTATAATACTATATTTTTTAACCGTTACGGTCGGTTGGATCGCAACAAATTTCGTATGTCCTGTGTTCGGAACATGGACAATATTCTGCACTGCTTATTATTACAGTAAATTAATACAATCAGAGGCGTCATTTCAATTTTTGAAAGGTTGGGACAACTGATTAAATTTGCCGACTTCATAATATTAAAAAAATTATGATTACCTATATATTTAAATATTTAATATTTATGGACGATACACTATCAAAAAATATTTTTCGGAACAAAACATGTAAGGACTAGTAATGAATAATGATGTCATGATGATGAACAAAGAAAATGAAACGTTTCAATTTACCCAATTAAATAATAACATAACAGGTTAAGCGCCAAGACAAAAAATTCAGTTTTGAATATAGTGCCACGTAGGGTTTATTGACCCTTCGATATGACTTGTAAATAGCGACACGTAGGGTTTTGAAGCCCGTCATGTAGTATTTGTTTTTGTCGTCATGTAGAGTCTCCAAAATCTTCATTTTACATGTTTTCTTAAGGAATTCAAATAAAGCGTGTTCCGTGGGACAAGTTTGTAAAATGATTCATTGAAATACCTTGGAATTTTAATTATATAGACAAGTAATAATATAGTTAATATCAAGAAAATTGCATACGAGTTATTTTCATACGATTATTACTATTATATTATTTAAATATTCGTTAACACTTACAAATTTAATATAATATTATTATTTTTACTCTGTACTCTTTTTTGTTCAAACGTTTATGCGTGTATCGAATACGTTTGGAAAACATTGAACACGGGTAAACATAGTGCAAAAATACATAAAGTGTTTAGAGATTATAGTGAAAATAAACGTAATAAAACCATAACTAAAAAGTCGTGTAAATACTACAATTGGACAACAGTAAAAAATGCAACTTGTCAACTAAACTACATTTTAGATTGTTTTAAATGCCCTAAAAACAATAAAGATGTTTTTAAATCTTATGCAACTCATACTATAGACACAAGTATGTGTTATAAGTTTTAGTTTTATTTTATTATTTTATCATAAGGTAACTTAAAAACGATTTTAAATCCATGTATACTCACTTTCTTATTGCTAGTAGTAGTTTTTTAATTATGTACCTACTAGGTAGTAAAATATAGGTACAAAATTATCATTTATCAGTAAATTTAAAACGTCTTTAACGTCACTTTATACATAGTAATCATAGTTATATATGATGAATAGATATTCAGATATTTAATGTAATAATTATTTATGGAAAAATAGAGTAGGTAACTACTACCTATATGGTAGGTATATATAGTAAGTACCTATTATTTACATTAATTATTTATCAACCCTTAATGTTTTTGAAACTTAACATACTGAAATTTCATAGTGTTTAATCTTACTATATTTAAATCTTAACATTTAACTTTTTGATAAACAAAATTTAACTAATAATAAACTTTACAAATTAAAAATAAAACAAAAAAAAATAAATTTAATGACTAATGGATCTTATTAATTTGTTCTACCTAAAAAAATGTGAAATATACATAAAAATTAAACAAATATAAAAGAAAAACAATTTTTTTTTTTTAAATATTGAAATATTTTACAATCTTATATTTCATGAAATGTTCAAACACTAATTATATTACGCTTCAAATAAAAATCAATTAAAATCCTTTGCTTTAAATGTTGACGACCATTGAAATGTACATTTTTGCATATGAAAAAGCACTAATGATAAACTTAAAAGTATTACTTTTAATAAAAATTATAATACCTACTCAAAATAACTTAGGTATATCAATAACGATGACACAAGATAAATTTATTTGTTTTCGTGAAGGTGTGTTATTATGATGATGGTACATAATTGTTTTAAGAAAGAATGGAAATGTTTGACGAGATCGGAAGAATCTTTCAAGACTATTATTTAAATATATATCATTATCTTACCGTTTTTGTGTATTATTATAGGCGTTGAAAACGTTTGCAGAGCATTCAATCTTCCACGAAATTCTTGGAAAATTTCAAAACCTGCTCCCTTACTTATAGGACCTCCGCTGTTGAATTACTTTCATCCCAAATGATAATTTCATCAGCCGTTCAAAGTTCTCGTTACACCCGTAAGTGCTATACAAACGTAGAAATCGAAATGATAAACACAACGGTAAACGGAAATCGAAATTAAAACATGACTCTCTTGGTATAAAATTTTTGTAACACTTGTACCGAAGGTTTGGTTTTCGACCACGATCGAAGCGTTGGAATGTCATATTTATTTGTCCAGCGGGCGGTAAGATGGGAATCCCATAGTGGCGCGCGGTAAAGTGGAAATCCCTATAACACCGCGTAGTAATGTGGAAATTTTCAAGAGTGCTGGCCACGTGTTCCCAGCACAACCAGAAACTTAAATGTATACCACGGTCTGTACAAAACATAAACTTTCGGTTAAATCTTATACACATATCACAACCTCCTTGCACGACGCATAAACATTTAAACATATTTCGTTTTCACTGTTCTCACACAAGTGCGTTGGACGTTACGGACAAATTTGTTTTGCACGATTTATATAACAATTCGAATTAGAAAATGAAATCGTTCGCGCAAGTGTCACGTCGCCGTTCAAATTATCCCATTTCGTGTTAACCGGAGCACCCGATAACAGTGTCGGCGTGTGATGTTCGAGAATTTTCGATCGGCGCGTTAACTCCGGAACTTTTTTCCGACGAAACTTTCTCTGCGAACGTCCGACTCGTCGTTTTTCCCGTGCCAACGGCCGTGTGTTTTTGTGGTTGCGGCATAACACGGTGGAGTCACCATCTCCAGGGACAATTTCGTGTGTGGGACAAATGTTCGAACCGTAGCTGACCCGTATCCGCGAAATTTTCTTTCGGTTATCGTCGTGCGCGGAGAAGCCAGTTATTGTAAATCAAGACCGACGCCACTGATCAACCTATTCTTCTGCCGGTTGTGGCGTTCGTCGCACGTGTGAACACGGTCGCGTGGGCATAACCATTCGAACGCTAGACCGTCCAAGGTATGTTCCGTTATATTTGTTAAAAATATTGTATTTATTTTTATATGATTTGTCTTGTTATATTATTACAACGTGTTTGGAGCATACGTGATTTTATTGTTATTTTTAGATTTATCATATTTATTATTACTTTTTTTGTTAATATTACTGTGGCGCTTTTGGCCTGTTTATCCCGGCATTTATTATAATTTCATTAACTATCCTTGTTAAGTGTTCTTTTTTATTGCAATCGACGCGAGTACGTCACACAATCGAACCAGTGATGGTTTGACTGCGAAGCACGCAAACAAGCATAAATACGAAAGATGACAATCAGTACAGTAGTTATAGTGAACCATTAACTTCGCCATACAGGATTAAAACGGCAAATGCTGTAACACTAAATCTATTGCCTGAAAAATCAAAAGAAAGATATATAATGGCTTATGAAAAACTTTTAAAATTGAGAAAAATAAATAAAACCAAATTGTTGTTAGAAAATGTGTTTCTTACAAATTTTAATAAATTATCTATAGAAATGAATTCGTCAACTCTATGGTCTATTTATTTAATGCTTAAAAGCATAAAAAATATGAATCATA